TGCCCACACTGATGGCCCAGACAACGATGAACTTCCAATACTGAGAACCAATCTGGCCGACTGAAGCTGCCCATTCAATCTGCTCCATACCATTGCATCTCCACCATCGCCAGCTTGTGGGGCGGGAAAGGGTCGGGGAATTCTGTGGCAGGCCGCAGCGGGATCTCCTGGCCCACCGTAGTCCAGTCTCGGAAGCAGATGCGATAATCCCTTTTGAATTCCTCCTGGTTATTCTCCCGGGGGGGCTTACCCTCCCATTTGACTGATGCGATCCAGCCCCCATTCTCCCCGCCTAACCAATCCTCAGAAAAATGATGAATTGCTTGTGTAATGTCCTTTACTGGGTGATATACATCGAGTTGGTTTTTCACTTTTTGCCAATGTATCATGATTTCTTGTTGAATGTATTGCCTTATCATGTCTGTTAACTCTTCCCCCATTATGCGGACTCCCTCTATAGCGTGTATGCAGCGTTTTCTCCAGAGGGCCCACATGACTGCTCTTCTTCCTAATTTGAACATGTTATTTTCGAAGGTGTTGTCGGTGGGGGAGGACCATGCTTCGCATAGTATGGCCCGCCAATCCCATGGCCAGTGAGAGTCAGTGCCCAGCCGAGTCCAGATCCTATCCCACCATCGCCAAGTGAGCACTGCCCCTGGGCACTGCATGAATATGTACTCTATAGTTTCTGGGATTCTGCGGGGGGGAAAGGCAGAGTGGCACGACTTGCGCCATGGTAATGCCTGCCCCCTTTGCTCCAGGTATGTGCGGTCTATCAACCAGTCATTGGTGGGTAGGCAACGGTGTTCTATCTGCCATTGAAGAGAAGCCATCTTCGCAGGTCTGGATCTTGTGGCAAAGAACCATCGAATCGGGCGGATTGCCTCATTTCCTACCTTCAAATGTGACCTCCATCGGGCCTTCACTGTGTCTCTTATATTCACTTTCAGTCGAAGCAGACGATATGTGGCCTTCACTGATAGGGTGTGTAGTTTTAGGTTCGCCCCTGTCTTAGGTTTTTGCTGAGGGGCCCACTACCACTCGTCAGGGTCCAAGGGTAGCTCCATCAGGGGAGTGTTTGGCTGGTATGCGATCCAAACATCTTTATCCCGCAGCACCTGTATCCTATGCAGGTCTGCTGTTCTCCACCATTTATCCACCTCTGGGCGGTACCGGGTGAGTGTGTTCTCCTTGCCAATGTGGAAAAGGTTTATTAGCGTTTCGTCAGTCCTTACCTCCACCACATTGCCGACGCTTTCCGGGTCCCCCGGGGCAGCTACCCAGTCTCCTTCCTTCAGCCGCGGTCCTCTGCGCAGAATGCGAACCCAGTCAAGTGGGACTGCAGCGGTCAACAGATCAACGTTCTCCTCAATCTTGTGACAGTGTTTTAGTATAGTTCTCAGTTGTGATCCTGATTTACAGTCGCCCACTTCCATGTCCCATATGTCTTTTATTCGGATTATGCCTTTTTTTCCCCAACTTTTCCACGGGGTGTCTGAGCTGCGGTACACTCTGCTATGCCGGTCCGTTATCCTCCTGTTCCCGAACAGAGGCTGGCGCATCACTTCCTCCCACCTAGTTGGTGGTGGTTGGTCCGGCAAGGGAAGTTGGCGCCAGACCTTCATGACTCGGGTTCAGAAGTCATCTCTGACCAGGTCCAAACGGGCTGCGTCTCGGGGTGAATCTCGCTGTACGCGGGGACGCCTTGGCACAGTCCAGAAGCGGTCTTCTAGCCAGGTCAATGGGCTGAGTCCTCGCGGTGCCTGTGGGGCGAGTCTGGCTATCTGTTCCAGCGCCAGGGCGCGCCATGGGAGGTGCTCATTGAACAACAATCTCTTGACCCATTGGACAGTTAATGTTGCAATCTGGGTGTCCGGGTCCAGGATCCCCAGGCCCCCTTTAGTCTTGCGTTGAATCGCTGATGACCAGGCTACTCTGCTAATGATGTTCAAGAGCTCACCATCACCTCTCCATAGGAGGGCCACTAATTGTCTTTTAAGCGATCGAACCGCCTCTTTGCTGAGGGTCCAGATTGCAGATTTGTACCATAAGGCCGCGAGTACTACACTGTTGATCGCGAGTGCTCTGCCGATGAGGGAGCTGTGTCGGTCTTTCCAGTTGGTTAGTTTTTCTAGAGCAGGCTTTAGAATCCACTCGTCGTTTGATGCTGGTTTACCAACTGCCGTCAACCTAATTCCCAGCACTCTAACCGGGGCCGTCTCCGGGAGCCATTTAACCTGAGGTAGCTCCGATGGGCGCACTCCTTGATGGTGGATCCAGCAACCCAAGGTCTTGTTTCCCCAGTTGACAGTCATGTCTGAGACTGCTGTGAATCGGTCAAACAATTTCCTAATCTCTTCCATGTTTGCTACAGTAGCATCCATCATAAGAGTCAGGTCGTCCGCAAACAACGAGCATATCGGGATCGCGTCTTCCGGGATCACGGAGATCTGTAGTATCCTCAGCTCTTTGTTGGCACGGAGGTTTGCTGCCAGCGCTTCCATCACGATGATGAAGAGGAAAGGTGCCAGTGGATCCCCTTGGCGAACCGATCGTTGCAATGGAAAAGACGGTGCTATCCTACCGTTGACTTGGACACACGTGGAGGCGTTGTGATGTAGTATTTCGGTCCATCGCCAGAATACTGGTCCAATATTCATTTTTTCCATACATTTGTCTAGGAATAGCCAATCCACGTGGTCGTATGCTTTTTCAAAGTCTATAAAAACAACAGCCGCATTTTGTTTATCTTGCCTTGTTAATTTGAGAAGTTCATTAACCAGAAGGATATTGTCCTGAATCCTGCGTCCTTTGACAAAGCCGGTCTGCGTTGGATGGATAATGTCTTCCAGGACCGGGATTAGACGGTTTGCCAGAGCTTTTGACGATCCTATTCATTTCACATTTCAAAATTCAAATTCGAGACGATGTCAAACATGGCATTACGCATCATTCCCATGCATTCTCTTGGTTGTATGGTCGTACTACGCTATGAATATGGGGTGTAGTGCCCTGTTAAATGCTACCCGCGTTAGCTGTGAAAGGGGTTGTTCGGGGAAAAAAAAAGACGTCAGGTGTTAGCCCTGCGGATGTAGTATTTTAATTTTTTAAGTTTTTTTATTTTTTTCATTCCTCTTTTCGTCTTTCTTCTTTTCTTTTCAAAAGGGCGATGGCCTTGAGATATGATGATCGAACTGATCAGCCCTAGGTAATTCAGAATACTAGAATTCTAGTATTTTACTCATCTGCTTCATGAGGAGTTCGAAGTCAGGTCTGTATTTCAACAGTTCAGGCGTGTACCAACTGAGCTTGGCTGGATTTTCATTTTTTTCAGTAAGTACATCCTTTTTGCAGGGTTCTGAGCCGACCTGGGCCCTAATCATGTGGGGCCCATAGGTCCATTTGGCCTCCAACAGTCAAAACGATGCCTAAGTGCAGTGCACTCACTATGCAAAGTGTGAAACTGCACACTGTGTGGTGCCATTAGACACAGAGCCCCGCATCCTTAGGACCATTACCTTTCGACATTTCACTCCTGCTTCAAAAATCCATACACATGCTGACCAACGGATGGCTAGGGTTTCGGGCTTAAGGCAGAGCTTCAAAGATCAGCTGTGCTCGTTGTGCGTAGCACTCGAATGGGACACTGGACCCAGTTTCCAGCAACAAAGGACGGGCAGGATCGGGTATTCGATCAGATCGGTGGAAGGACCAGCGCTGTCTGGTTCTCTCAACTGGATGTCAAGGGGGGACTCATTTGAAGGTTGCATTTTTTTCCAGGTACGAACATCAATGTTGCGTCCTCTGCAGCAAGGCTAGTTTCTCCAGGTCAGTGCCCTGGAAAGGATCTAGCGCATACTTGCGGCGCACCAGCACTGTGTGCTGCGCAGCACGCTGTGCGCGGACCCGAGGTGCGCGCGCACCGGCGCGCGCCACACATCTGGGTGCGCAGTGCGCGCTGCGCACGTCTAGTGTGCTGCGCGCGTGTGCGCAATGTATATTTCCATGTTCTAGCGGTAGATTCATTCGATTTTGCTCATCCTAGTGATGGAAGTACCAGAAGGCCAGCCGCGAGATTGGAGACTTACCTGCTCTCTCTCTCTCTCTCTCTCTCTCTCTCTCTCTCTCTCTCTCTCTCTCTCTCTCTCTCTCTCTCTCTCTCTCTCTCTCTCTCTCTCTCTCTCTCTCTCTCTCTCACACACACACACACACACACACACACACACACACACACACACACTGTCACACACAAACAACACACCGCGCGGCCTCAATTTTTTTTTATTTTTATTTTTTTTGTGGTTCTTGACGCGACATCCCACTTGGGCCTAAAACACCCCTCCCCAACATTTTTTTTTCTCAACCCCTTATTTTCGGGGTGCGCCGCACCCAGTGCGCGAACGTCGTGCGCTGTGTGCGGTGCGGCGCGTGCAGCGCACGTCGATGCGCCGCATGTATGATGTAGAGATGTGAAACCACAATCACCACACATATCGGCACGATAGTCAAACTGCTATGATCCTGTTCATTTCACATTTCAAAACTCACTTAAAGGTTGCATTTCTTTTGCAGGTACAAACATCAATGTTGCTTCCTTGGCAGCAAGGCTAGTTTCTCCAGGTCAGTGACCTGGAAAGGATCTAGAGATGTGAAACCACAATCACCACATATATCGACACGATACTCAAACTGCTATGATCCTGTTCATTATACATTTCAAAACTCACTTAAAGGTTGCATTTCTTTTGCAGGTACGAACATCAATGTTGCTTCCTAAGCAGCTGAGAAGTCGAGCTGCTGAGGAAACAAAAGCGAAGCTGGTAATGCTCCCAGTATTTTCTCAGAATATGTTGTGTCAGGGATGCTGGAGCCGGGTTCCATCAGGTGCTCCTGCCCTCCAATGGACCGGAGCCATCGACAAGAACGCCTCGACCATGATGGTGCTTCCCAGGACCGTAGGACGTCACAGGATGTTTTCATTAAAAAAAAAAAAAGAAAAAAAAGAAAAAAAAAAAAAAAGAAAGAAAGAAAGAAAGATGCAACAGAACCCAGCGGAAGTCAAGGAAATCCAAATCCAATTTGAGCGGGCAACCCTGGGCTCCGGGAAAATGGCCAGCATTGAGGAAACAGGCTTAATTTTTCATGATTGTACCTGAATTAACACCAGAAGGCCACCAGAGGGCAGTTGGGAGGAGAGATGTCAGGGTGTGATCTATGGTGCGGCAGGATTTCGGGTTCAAGCTTTGGACTTGGATGCGGTAGGGTTTAGGGTTTCAGGATGAGGAGCATACAGGGGGGTTATGCAGTTAGGAAACAGGAAGGAACCTCAGAGGACAACAAGCGAACCCAAGGGGAGATAGACAAGAGGTAGATAGGTTAGCAGGCAAGGTCCAAGACAAGCGAACCCAAGGGGAGACAAGAGGTAGATAGGTTAGCAGGCAAGGTCCAAGATTAAGTATTGAGGCTAGCTTAGGCAGAGGTGAGGGGCGGTATATCCTTCCTAAGGGACGCAATCGATGCTGTCCACTCGGGCCTGTCAGCCATAATGGGGAGGAGCGTGCGTGGGTAAAATTGATATTTTTCACGACTTGCCAGGGGAATAGGAACCTGACTGTAGCTCCCCGAATGGAAGGTGCCAGTGCCAGAGACGTTCCGTTTCCAAAAAAAAAAATAAAAAAAATTGATATTTTTCACGACTTGCCAGGGGAATAGGAACCTGACTGTAGCTCCCCGAATGGAAGGTGCCAGTGCCAGAGACGTTCCGTTTCCTGAAAAAAAAAAAAAAAAGGGAAGAAGAAGAAGTGAAAAAAAACAAAGTTCACGTTTCAGCGTGAGCAAAACACTTTCCAACTCTGTCAATCGTCATACTGCGAGTGCGTACAGTACTTTATACTGTGCAATGTGCCATGGACTAGCACCCTCTTCCGCCTCAAACAAATGCAAGACTTTCAATCTTGAATTGAACAATACCGCAGTCTTTCTCATCCGGCCCAAGGCCAGCGAATAGAGACTGCAAATAATGGGTAGGCCTCTGCCAGCACACATTGGACCATCAAGTTGCCAGAAACTCATTCTGAACGAACCCTCAGTTGCAGCCACTGGCAAGGAGCAAGAGGGAGGATGCCCACCATAGCTAGGAGAGGAGGGAGGAATGTTGCCAGAGTAGGGACTCCTGGGAACTCGTCAACAGGAAGAAGAGTGCATCATGGGGAAAGACTCGGAAGGAGACAGCTTACGTAGAGGAAGAGGAGAAGATGGCAGCCAAAGCCGCCACAGCTGGGAAGGTCCAAGCATAGTGGATGAGCCTCTTAGTGGGCTTAATGGGCTGATACGGTGTTGCTTTGGGGGCCTAGATTGTTGATGCTTATTTATATCAGGGCGGCTGCATTGTAGTTTTGCAGCCACCTACTACTTTGACGACTGTAGGGACGCGCAGGCTACACATTTTCGTAAGAACGTCATTGTGAGAGACAGAAAAAAATTGAAATTGTAGAGATACTTGCAAATAAGAGTAATGAGGAGGAGTTCGCCTGTTGACATTACGGAGCTTGTATGTTAGGGAGTTTTTGCAGGGACAGAGAGTTTAGCTGTACTACAATGAGGGAGAGTTCAACACAGCGTAGTGTCGACAGGTAAAGTCTCACTCGTTGTAGAGGTAAACTACATCGTGCTCATTGAGGTTTGAAGATTGATCACAACATAAAGCATCAATGTATTGTTACTTTTGCTCTTCTGGCGATTGTTTTCTCATCTTTCAGTGTTCAACTATTTCTTGCTTGGTATCCACTCCTCCATCTCTGGATGTGTGTTTCACTGGATTGATGTTGGTGAGCTTTCTGTTCTCACTGTGTCCATTGTACTGCAAGTACATGCATCCCCTGCCATTCCTGTGCTTTAAGATTACAGAGAGTAAAAATCAAAGATGTCTCGGCACTCAGTTGTTGCTAACATTGGTTCTTGGGTCTGCTTCGAGCTTGTGCTGACTCTGCTGTGTGACATAATTACCCCTGCTTTTTGCTTTATTGAAAAATTTCACTCCTTTGCAGGGTTGCATACCTGCCGATCGCCGACCGTTTTGCAGCAGTCTGCTAACCAGTCTGTAGAGGGCCATCTGTTGATTTTCTCAAATTTTTCAAGTCTGAGTTCGGGGCTGTAGTGCACTTGCTGAGTGCAGCCCAAATCCACTGAGAAGCTTATGGGGATTGGCACGGGGGGGGGGAGGGAGGATACAGGGGGGTTATTGGTGTGGGTATGGGGGGTCATGGAGCGGGTATGAGATGGTTGGGGGATTGTATGGGGGTGTTGGTGGGGTTATTGGGGATTACAACCCCCGCCCAAAAAAAATAATAAATTATAAATGAATGAAAAGTATTTTTTTGCAGGGTGCCACCGGTAGGTGCCAACGGGTGGAGCGGTCGGCTGGTCGGCAGCCGACCAATCCAGGGGCGCCGACCGACGACATGACTACTCTGATCCTTTGAGATTATTTTGCAGGGTGCCGACCGGTAGGTGCCAACAGGTGGAGCAGTCGGCTGGTCGGCAGCCGACCAATCCAGGGGTGGCGACTGTCGGCATGACCGCAGGCGGCACTGTAGATTCTGCTTATGTATAAGTACCGGGGCCCAGGCCAAAATTTACGGTGCCCAAGCCCAGTGGTGGTTCAGTGGGAAAGAGCCAGCGGCCTAAAAAAAACAACAGCGTGCACTAAAGATTTCAGGCTCAGCAAATGCATTTTTCGGTTCGTCAATTTGCCTTCGGAGGTCTATTATTCAGTGTGGCTGGTGAGTTGACATCACCCATGCCTGCCCTTGTGATTGACTGAGACATTCAAACCATTACACTTAAGTGTGGTACCGATGACACCCTCATAATGGTGAGAATACACATGGTCGCTAACACATGCACACCCACACATGCCACGGACAGTAAACATGCAGAAAGTGCCGCACAGAAAATTGAAAAGGGGAAAGACAAAGAAGATCGCTAATTCCAAAACATGACCACACCAAGCAACGCAAAAGAAAGAGGCGGAAAGGATAAGAGCGAGAAGTAAATGCACCTGTTGGCCTTGCATATTTTGCATTACGCACAGCATCTCACTTGCAACCGCATCTGGGTACAGCGATTTTTCATGTGTGCCCTTGCTTTCAGCCCCCTGCAAGAGGGCATCCCAACGATGAAATAGGAGCAAGTTAGTAATCCGTAAGTGAAACCGTGAAAGAGAAAAGAGAAGGCTACCTGTTTAAAAGGCTGTTTTCCAATTTCACAAGTATTCTCCTTCAGTCTTGTCCACATTTTGATTGACTCCCCTTTCTTTAAGGCTTCTTATTATGGGGCCATTGCCAGTTCTAGACACTCTCCAAAAGGCTTCCTCTGCAATCCACGCAGGGGTAGAAAATCAACAACCAATGCTTGCGTTGGGTTACATGTTTCACAGAGCACTTCACTTTCATCACAGCTCACCTAACCTATGAGCAACGTGATCCACCGTTGTGAGAGGTCACAAGTTCGATTCCTAGTGTTGAGCTCTGACCATTTTAAGCAAGCATGTGATGACCCGACCAAACATGGACTGAAACACACGGCTGATTTCTGAGTTTTGCTCATGGACTGGATGCCTTGCTAAGTTTCCTGCTTGCTACT